GGATCATTTGTCTGAGGTCCACTGGCACCACGTAAGCAGTGATATTTCTGGAAGGCTCACAATGAATATTCACTGCATTTAAAAGCATGTTTGTGATTTGTCTGGTACCTTGTAAGTAAAGTTAGATGTAGCAACTTGTGTATATGGCTGTTGTGATACACCTTAGAAACTTTTAATACCTGGCAGCTGATGGGTTCTCCTTTCATACCACTCAAATTTGGTAGGGTTGAAAACTTTTTTCTTTTGGTGAGGGGAAAAAATAACCTAAGGAATGAATTATTGCCACTGTTTCCACAGTTTCATGAGACAATAGAGAATAGGTGTGGACAAAAGGTGTATGAAGGGCTATTGTAAAGAAGTAATTTTGGATTTGAAGTCAGTTGTCAGCACAGCCAAATATTTCTTGGGGGCGGGGAAGAAAAAAGGGTGGACTATGTGGGTGTGTTTGCATGTTTATTCACTTCTGTGCATCTTGCCTTCTGTGAGTTCAAAGTGAATCTGAGCATTTAGGGCTTTAGGTTACAATGACTACTGAGGAAAAGATGCAATGAATGCAAAAAGATACTGGATATAACTGAATAGGGATTTTAGTACATGGAAAGATCAAATGCAGCTGTGATTGTTTTAAATACAGCTTACCTTTAGAAGCTAGAGATTACATTGCCTTCAAAGGCATAGTCTTTAGAGGGAAAATATTTCGGAGAGTGGTAGACTTGTACTAGTGTTTGCTATCTGTGTTGCAAGCATGAGTGTACATCAAACACTGGCTTTTCTAGTTTATCATTCAAGTTTGCTGTGTTCATGGTGAAATCACTTGGTGTGGGGGCAATTGTATATGATCTGCATTAGGATATAGATTTTTTTTCTGTTGGAAATACACTGTGAAAACAAACATGAAAATGTGCCAGAAAAAGGGGGAACAGCAAAAAAGGAAGGGATTCTGAAACCAGACAATTAAATACTGTGGGGAGATGCTGGGAAATAAACTACCACAATGAAAAATGTTTAATATCCATGCTTAATTGAGAAAGCTAGGTAAGAACAAGATTTTCAGAAGGCTGTCACCTTCTCTTTCTGGGGAGAGTTCTTAAAGGTAGAAATTGCCAAAAAAAGTTTCCATAACATGAGAATATCCAAGTCCTAAATTCCAGCCTTTTTACTACTTCAGTATGTAAAAAGCTAAAACATTTAATAGCAAAATATATATACACACATAAATCCAGTGGTGCAAACATGAAACATTGTGATACCTCTTTAAAAAAATGTTGAAATAATGAAGTATTTTGTCTCTAACCCTGACTAAAAGGTTAACTTAGAAGTGACTGACCTCTCATTTCTCTAGCTCCAGGGTTCTCTCTTTGGGATTAGAATTCCCTGGATGGTAGGTAAAAGCATTAACACAGCACACATACTGGTAACGACACATCCTTGTTCTTGCTAGAGCAGTAGAAGATGCAGAGAAAAGGGTTGCAAAGGCTGCCTTTGTAACTGTCCCAATATAGAGGGAAGAGGTGGTTTTGAACAGGAATCCACCCTAGAGTTGAATTCTTAGTTCTCTAAATTGTCTCCTGGCTAGGCTATGTAAAGCAGTCTCATTGTACTGAGATGAGCTTTTGTGAATGCTCTTACTGTGCCAGAATTTTTCAGATAATGTGACTTGTTCTGCAGTTGATCTTTACAGTCAGTGCAACACATCAGGAAAGTGTACACCAGTGTCAAAGCTGGTGAGCAAATGCTAGAGTTTATCTATGCATGTCCACTGGCATTTTTCATGTTATTTCCAGGTAAAAAACAGTTTAGCCAGAGCCACTGCTCATGGCTGGCTACTGGATAGCTTAAATGCCAAACAATGGCAGGAGTTCTCAGCTACCTGCCCAGGTCATGTTTTCAGCTAGGAATAAAAGAAGAAATGCATGGAAGCAAATTCTCCTGTCTTTGGGCACCCAGAGGTTTGGGAGAATGCTAATGAACATAGTCTGCCTTACCATTGATCTGCATGTCAGTCCTCAGATACCCTTTCCCACTTCTGTGTCCACAAAAAGCTAATGTTGTAATTCAATTTTTACAATGTGTAAATTAGCAGTTATGAGTGAGCAGTCTTAAAGGAACTGTTGCACCCAGAAGGCACCTGACCTGTTAGAATATTCAACAGCACAGTTAAACTTAGCTGAATTCATGTAATGACAACATAGAAGAAGCATCTATTCTCCTGTCTCAGGAGGTAGATACAAGCTAACTGTCTGCGACACTGTCTTCCCTTCTAGTTGCCTCGATGTTGCAGCATGTCCCTTGTCAAGACTTGCTTCCGATCTTAACTGTTCAGCTCTGCTCTTTCCTGCTTTCTTTCTCCTGGTAGCTAGGCTTGCTTCCAGACATATTTAAATTCTGTTTGCATGAACCCATTCATTGCAGCATGGGATGTCTGAATCCAACCACAACGTGTGGTGCTTTCACCATTCAAGTGGCTTATGGTCATGGGAAGCGTCTGTGTGTGTTCTGTCATTCTGGGTCTTCCCCCGGATGCTTGCAGTCTGACTTGTGGTTTACAAAAATGCTGAGGTCCAGTTAGCTGTGTACGAAGTTAATACACTTGTTTGTATCTGAAGATCAGGTTAAGATCAGTAGACTTCCTCTTTGCTTTTTTCTAGGCTAAGTTTTGGTGGCATGTTTGCTCTGGGAGTGTTATGTGAGATACTGCACCTACATCCCTACCCTTCTGTGGCTATAGCCTGGATAAGCTTGAACTAGGTCTGTGCAGCAACTGTTTACGCTGCTGTTAAAGATATGTGTGAAATAGCTACATCTCCAGAATTGTGTCTGACTGCCTTTTGTCACTATTCAGAACCAACTCACTCAGGCTGCTTTCCTTGACCACAATGTGGGAGCATTGCCTAGTTTTTACACTGTTTTTTTCCTAAATTATTCTCTGGACATGTGGATTGCTTGACTTTCCCCTCCATTATGAGTTTGCCATGTTCTTTCCAGCATCTGAAAACATAAGTATAGTTTAAACTAAGCTACAGTGGAGTTACGGCAACTTGAGAGCCTGATGTGATTTCACACCACGGAAATAGGCACAGATGTGTCCACTTTGTCCTCTGCCTCAGAAATACTGTACTTGCTGAACCTGCACTGGTTGTGTATGCCCTAGAGTCTACCTTGCACAGTAGTACCTGCTGGTTCTCGTAAATCATGCTGCAAAATGTCTACAAGAGCTTTGTTGCTTTGACATTTTCTGTAATAAAATAAATGTTCTTACACCCAGTGCAAGTGTTCCACAAGAGTGTGGAGCTTTTGAGTACCCTTGTGCCGTTGTCTCCCTGAGCCACTGACATTATTCTAAGGCTAGAGTGTTGGAAAGGCATTACTGATAAAATAGCAGCTTCATCAGCATCGGGTGGTTTTCTTCCATTATGCCTGATACAACTCCAGCTTACTGGTAGTCCCCTATGTCTATAGGGAAGAGAGGATTGAGGGTGGATAAATTGTAAGGTGAGACCAAAGAGCATGCTTTATCTGTAGTAGGAGTATGGTGGAGGGTGAGATAAGAGGCAAAATACCTGACAGTATTGCTATGCTGGAATAATGATCTGCCAAGGTTGTTAATTATTATGCTGCTTTACCATCAGTGTGATCTCTTCTGTTCCAAAGCAGCAGAGTTGCGAAATGCAAAGGGAAAATCCTCCTCAGAGTAACTTAATGTGACTTGAAGTGGCTGTGCTTATGATCAAATGATCTTATCCAGTGCAGAAGCACACAGGGCGGCATGGAACAGAAATTTGCTCTTCCCCTAGGAAGACAAAAGGGAGGATCAAGGTTTAACTGTGAAATGGGAATGAAACAGGCTCTAGAGCCTTTCCGCTCCAAAGGAGCTTGGTTCTGGTCTCGGTTTCAGTGTCCGAACTCCAAGAATAAATATTAATTTATATTAGGCAATTGTTGAAAGAATTCGGAGAGCAGGAGTAGGAAGTAAGGGCCCTAACCTCTTTGGTAGCCAGCCTACCTCCCCGGGCTCCACTGCAAATCTGCCAGTAGTCCCGGATTTAACGGGATATAGGGCAGAAATCAGCACAGTCTCCCTCCTTCCCCAGAGCTCCTGGTCGGCAGGCAGTTAACACATTGCTGCAGGCTGTGATTTCAAACACTTTGAATGAAGAGTTTATGTCCTTCTTACGAAGAGCCGAGTTTACTCTTTTTCTGGGTGAGCCTGCAGCTACCCGCTCTGCACTCGAGAGGGACAGCACCACTACCTAAGAACGTAAGGTGAACTCAGTGGTGTTGGTGTGTCCGAAGCATGGCTGGATGAGCCCCGCAGAGGATTCGCCATTGCCAGCGCAGTGGAAGCAGTGGCGCCTTTTGGCACGTCCGAAAGCTCGTGCTGAGGAAGTCCTCCCCAGGAAACTGATGGTCAGGGCCCTGGGACAGCAGGGACCTGCGAACTCGCAGGCAGCATGAAAAGGGCACACGTCTGAAAGCTGTACCTAAAACTTCTACTTGGACCTTTGGAAACGATTTCTTTCTAATGCAACAGAAAATATGTGATTATCTCTCTTAAAAATGTAGTATATTGCTCCCTCTCATAAACAAGTTCCCTTTTGAAAAGGGATGCTTTACGTGGCTCTGTAGAAACAAAGCACCCGTAGGTTTCTACGTTAAGAGAGTAATCTCCCCATGTCGGTAATCTGGCGGTCAGCCTATCCGCCTTTGGGATGTGTCCTGGGGGATTTTCAGAGACACTGGAATTGGCTAGGAATAAACCGTAACTGTGTTATAAGCAGCGCTGTGGGACGCTGCTCGCGTCCGACACACCTGCGCGCTGCAACGGGTTTCCGTGGGGAAAACCCCAGCGCCAGCCCGCCGCCCAGCTCAGGAGCCCCCTCCGCCCCCGGCACCCGGCGGACGCTCCGCCCGGCCCGGCCCGGCCCGGCCCGGCTCGGCTCGGCTTCCCACGCCGCCTCCTGCCCCGCTTTCGGTTTCACTTCTTCCGGCTCCCGGCGGAGCGTTTCCTCGTGGTTTTCGTGCGCTGGGAAAGTTGTACGGTGCCTGGATGTCTCCAGACCGGAGGAGGTAGAGCCCGCAGCGGTAAGGGGATGCCGTTCTTCGCTTCTTGGTAATAAACGCGAATATCGGAGGTACAAAGCCCGAAGGACTGCCCAGGAGTTCGGGCGATTTTCCGTCATCTTGGATTTCTCCTCGCTTGCAAGTTAGCAAAGTCGGCGCCGCTGCTGTTTGCTTAAAGCTGTGTGCTTTGGTGCTTGTGCCCGCGTGTGGTGTCCCCAGCTGGCAGGAGGTATTTCTGGGTGTTAAAAAAAAAAAAAGGAGAAGGCAACATAGGTGAAGTGGGAATGTCCCTCCCTGGGAGATGCTGGAAGCTCCCCTGCTAAATTCTCCAGTTTTTTAAAGTTCTTGCTCGTAACATTAAAACTGTCATTCTTTCTTTTGTCTGTTAAATACTATTCTGTAACACTGTCCCTTCAGTCTGACGATGGGTGTATGCTTTTTTCACTGGATCCCCAACCAAAGCATAAAACGCCTAAAGCTGACTCCAGACTTCACGCAATGAAAAAAGCAGGAAAAGGCAGGCCTTCAGGCCTCACTGGAAGTCAGCCAAAGAACTCATTTTGTGTTTGTGCAGTACATTTCTTGCGCCTTTCAGACTTAAAGATGAGCTGGCAACAACTGCCGAGGAGCCTGGCAGCTATGTCCCTAAAACAAACCCTCAGAGGGATGCAGGCCAGAGGTAAAGCTTTTGTTACAGACAAGCTCCCACTTTGTTTTCCTTAGCTCTTCCAGCAGCTGGGGTACAGAGGAATGAGGCAGGACAAGCGGTCCTTTATTTTCCTCAGCTACAGGGACACGGGTGCGGTGTTCAGCAGCCGCTGTAGCAGGTCAGGCTGTCTGCAGGACCATCGTGTTGAGTTATTTGCTATCGCTTCCCCTTCCTCATTTGCCAGCGGCAAGGTGAGTGGAGAGCCAGACTGTGTGAGCTGCAGGAGATGGGTCAGGCCCACATGCAGTGCCCAGCAGGGAATTGGTTTTTCATTAAGATTTATTTTAAATTGTCTTTTGCAGTCCTTTCTGTATGCCTTTGCAATGCTTTAAGTCCCTCTTTCCCTTGCTTTTACGCCCACTCCCATTGGATTTTACTGATGTCTCTCCCTAGATGGCCAGGTTGCTCCCACAGAGGCACTCACAGGGTTCCCCTCTGGCCACTACAATGTGGCTTTTTGTTACTAGAGGAGTCCTAATGTGTGCTCTCTGAAAAGGCATGTTACCTGTGGTGCCAAACTTTGCTGGGGTCTGACCTGCTAAACTCCTGTTTGGCTGCAGGTTGCAGTGTCAGTTCCTCAAGAGTGTTTTGTTACGGTAGTGAAAACTCTTCTCTTCAAAAAACATCAGTTCTGAGGGCTTTTTCTTTTTCTATACCAATGTACAGGTTTAATTTCTTGTTTCATTTCTTGTTTCGTTGTTTGAGCAATAATGTAATGTGCTCAAAGCTAGATCATGTTGATTAAACACAGGTTCCAAGCAAAGGAAAATGTGAGCTGCAGAACTAAGGAAGCTCATATTCCTGGGAATTAGTCTTTCGAGAAGCTGTTCTAGATTCCTGTTAAGTCTAGTAAGGTTAAATTCCCGTCTATAGCCTGTTCTGTAGTGGGGCACCGACAGTCTTCTCTACCTGGGAGCCCATCACGCTGAGACTTAACTCATTGGTAAATTGAGGTTGAGCAGGTACGTTCCAAATTTGTTGGCAGAAGGCCATACAGATGTGTGTATTTGGAGATTGTGGAGATACTCAAAGCTTCAGGGGTGAAAGTATAAGGTTTATATTTTTTAAAAAAAAGAAAAAATTGAAGTGGAGGAACCTAAGCTTACTGTTCTCTGCTAAAGCATGGAAAAATATTCAGGCAAGCACTCCCAAAGTATTTGTTCTCCCTCTACTGAAGATTAATTCTGTAGAGAATGATACGGAAGATACACTGGACTTCTCTCTTGATTAGTGGAAATGCTATTTAATTAGACAAGCTCTATGACTCAGCAGGCTTGTCAAAGCTTTCTGAGCTCTTACAGCTCTAATCCAGTCAGAATTTTTGTGGAATTAATTTTCTTCTTTATCCAGTAAAGCTGCATTACAAGATCACCAGGTAAATTTAAATCTTATGGATACTAAATTGAAATGGAATAAAATACAAAAAACTCTGAGATTCTTCAGAAATGTCATGCCTAAACAGGCAGAGCCGTTGAAGATTAGAGCACCAGTGGACAGAGGCTGATATCCTAATGGAAGTTCTCAAAAGATATGGGGTGGGGTGTTTAAATTCTTAAATGTGTAAGTTTTCCTGGAAGAATTTGGATAAATGTACTGAATCTATGAACAGTGTTTTTTCTACACCTTGGCTCTTCATTTCTTTCTCTGATTAGGTCGGTACTGATTTATTCTGTCTGCTTTTACCTTCTCATATACCTTTCTATAGCCTGGTATTCCTTCTTTCACTATGAGGTAGAAAGAGAGTTAGAAGTTTGTGTGGCTGGCTTGTAAAACAGCAACTGGCAACAACTGTAAAATAAAGTGGTGGCATATTAGGCATTCTTACTGCATATAACTATAAATATTTTAAGTGCAGTTAAGCTCGGAGCATAGTGATTAACATTGAGGGGCCGGTGTACAAATATTTATCAGTGTGATTAAAATTGAGGAGCCTGTGTGTAATTTGTCATATTTATTGTATTTTTTGCATGTTAAAGCAATGAAAAATTAATCAGAAAAGGGAAAATGTTGGAAATTTGCATTGATAATAGATAAAGTGTTGGTAGCTTTTTGAGCATATAAGACAATACTATTGTTTTTAAAGAAAAATCTTAACTTAGATTATTAGACATACCTTTTCTGCAGAAATGAATGCTACTTTACGGGTGAAAAATACTGAGTGTTTGCTTGGTATAAAACTGCATGGTTTTTGAGCCTGGCTTGCTTAGCCTTCAGTTTAAGATATAAGTTATGTCAAAATGATTGTAATTTGTATGGTGTTCATTTTGCCTTTGCAGATAAAACAATGGGAAGTGCTGTTCTTTGGCGGAGCAGCTTATCTGTCAAACTGGTGTCTGTCTGCTTGCTGTGTGCATCAGTTGGAAAGCAATGTCAGATCCGAAATGAAATGGCTGACTGCAGTCACCTAAAGCTGACTCAAATTCCTTCTGATCTCCCAAACAATATAACAGGTTTGGACATTTCTCATAATCAGCTAAGGCAGCTAGGTCCTGCAAATCTGACCAAGTACAGCCAGCTGGTTTACTTGAACGCAGGCTACAACAGCATCTCTAAACTGCAACCGGAATTGTGCAAAAATGTGCCCCTGTTGCAGATTCTGAAGTTAGAACATAACGAATTGTATAAGATCCCTGATGGAGTCTTTGCTTCCTGCACCAACCTGACTGAGCTCAATCTAGGATACAACAGAATAGATACAAAAAATGATCCTTTCAAAACTCTGGAGGTAAGCGTTAGAAATGCACCTTTTCATGTAAATAAAGTATAAATGGGGAATTTACTGTATTTTCCACTGTGTGTACAGAACAGCTGCCTATTTGCACCTGAAAATACCCAGCATATAATATTCCTTCATTCTTTTTCTAAAGAAGAGTCCTAGTAGCTTCTTGTGTTAGAAGCACACTGGAGTCTCAGCCATCCTTATTAAGTCAATCCTCTCCATCCCCTTTTCCCTGTTGCAGCCCATTGAGGCACCTGGCCATGCAGGATTTGTGCTGAGAGAATAGCAGCAGCAGATGACATATAAGGTGAAGTGGATGGTGTGGAATCTGAGTTGCCTGGGGTATAAAAATGGTAGCTAGCCTAAATTCTCAAGGGCACAGTGTAGTTACTCTGATCATGAAGGCTAGTGCTTAGGCTGAATGTAGTGTCTCTCAGGACTTTGGGGATTAAGAAAGAGTAAAAGTCTTTTTACTCTATCTTTTTTTTTCCTGGTAGTTTCCCTGTGGTTAAATATTATTCTCTGTAGCATCTATGAGCACAGGAATCAGGAAAAGACTGTGCCCTTGTCTTTGCACCAGGCAGGGAATCATGCAAAAGGAAGGGCCTAAGGACAAAAATAAATAGAGACAACGTGTGGGTACTAATTGTTGTACAATGTTCTAATGAGTGTGCATGTTGTTTTGAACAAGTCTGGACTTTTCTGCTAAAGTCAGTATTCCAGTTCAGTTACATGAGATGCACTTGCTTGCATTGTAGGATGCTGACTCAACTAAGTACAAATGAGTACAGCCAGCTTCGGTGCTGGGAACAGAACTGAAGTTCTGGCCTTCCTCGCTTTGCTGCTGACCTGTTACTGATGGAGGCCAGGCTTGGGGCACCTCAAGGCACATTCTGTGGAGTCACCTTTAGGGTAGCATGTCCTTCTCCGCAGGTGCAGGAGGAGTCTGAGCACCTGGGCATGAGCTGGAGTATTACAGGGCGTACAGCACTGATCTTTGTAGGCTGCTACTGCACTCCTCTTCACCTTCCTCACTTCCATTTCTGGGGGTGGACCACAGTGAAGAGGGTGGAATGCAAGGTTTAATACTGCAGGAGTTGTAACTGCAGCCAACTGTAGGCTTTTGCTTTTATCACTTTATCTGGAGCAGGAGGGCTTTCAGTGAATTAAGGCATTTTAGATAAAGTAAATCTTTGGTTTGCAGGAAGATATTTTAGCAGGTTAAGACCATGGATACAATGAAAGTTACAGGGGTGGAAGATACAGAAGGCTTCTTCTGCAGGATCTTGAAAGCTGCCATTTCTCTATTACAAATTTATTTTAATTGTAGTATTGCAACTATTTTCTAATCAATTGGACTCTAATGCAATATTTCAAAATTATTTTGTATTATATAAAATAAAAATAATTGTATACTTTTCTGTTTGCATCTTCTCCCCAGAACTTGAATATTTTGGACCTATCTCATAATCTTTTGAAGTCGGCAAATTTAGGATTGCAGCAACAGTTGAAGAACCTTCGTGTGCTCATCTTGGATAGCAATGAAATCACTGAGTTAAAAAAGGAAGACTTCAGTTTTCTTAGCAACACCTCATTGAATAGTCTTGATTTGTCATCAAACCCACTGAAAGAGGTAGGAAGCATTTAAACAGAAATTCAGCAGGTGTAAGTATAAAATGGAGCTATCCTGATTTATCCTTTATGATTGTATAGCATTTACATTACACTTTTGATCCACTGAGGTCCAAGATAAAACCATTCGATTGTATACAGCATTAATCCTGATCTCCAGTAGTGATACACAATTATTTTTCTCCCACTGGAATCAGCAAGAGCTGGTTCCATGTAGATTAGAGGTCTCAAGCAACAGCTAGATCAAGTAGCTCTGTCATCCCTTACCAGGTATTTTCTATGCAGGATTTCTTTTGTTTGTGCTGAAGGTGAAGAGCTGACATACTGTCCTGGTTTCAGCTGGGATAGAGTTAATTGTCTTCCTAGTAGCTGGTATAGTGCTATGTTTTGGATTTAGTAGCAGAAGAATGTTGATAACACACTGACATTTTCAGTTGTTGCTAAGTCACGTTTAGACTAAGTCAGGGTTTTTTCAGCTTCTCATGCCCAGCCAGCAAGAAGGCTGGAGGGGCACAAGATGTTGGGAGGGGACACAGCCAGGGCAGCTGACCCAAACTGGTCAAAGGGGTATTCCATACCATGATATGTCACATCTAGTATATAAACTGGGAGGAGTAGGGGCGGGGGGATCACCGCTCGGGGACTAACTGGGCGTTGATCAGTGGGTGGTGAGCAATTGCACTGTGCATCATTTGTACATTCCAATCCTTTTATTATTGCTGTTTTCATTTTATTAGTGTTATCATCATCATTATTAGTTTCTTCTTTTCTGTTCTATTAAACCATTCTTATCTCAACCCACGAGTTTTACTTTTTTTTCCCAATTTTCTTCCCCATGCCGCTGGATGAGGGGGGAAGTGAGTGAGCGGCTGCGTCGTGCTTAGTTGCTGGCTGGGGTTAAACCACGACACATACTTTCTAAGTGGGGTAAAAGTGTGATGTTATGCAAGGCTAGTTATACCATCTAGGTCTCACTTCGTAGTTGATCAAAGAGAATGTTCATTTGTGTCTGTGGGGTACCCCAGAGAAATCATCATTGCAGAAAAGTGTACTTACTCCTTTAAAAAAAACAAGTGGGTGGTTTTTCTGCAACCTACACCGACTGCACTCTTCTCTCTGACCCACTTCTCAGTGTTGCAGTATGATTCTTTGGAGAGTGATGGTAAGTGTTGCAGTTCTCAACTGGCTGACCCTCAGCGTATGACTACTGAATTTGCATTGAATTTGCTTGGGTTTTTTCCCAGTTGGTTGATTTGTAAAGAACATGTACATGGAAATTACAAGAACATTTTAAAGTGGCATAAGCTTGTACCACTGCTGAGAGGCAATCCCACCATCCTCTTTCCCTTCGCCACTTCATCCCTCTCTCTTTCTGGTACAAGCTTTAATGAGGCTATGCACTGGATCACTGGGGAAACTCTACAGACTTTTTGGTTTGGTTAGCTTGTAGTCAGGCTGGTTCCCTGTTTGATTTATCATGTGACTGCATGTATGGCCATATTGGCACAAGGGTACAGTGTGTGGATAAGTAGATGGGACTGCTCCTTTCTTGGGCAGTGCTACTTTATGCTAGTTTAAGCTGCTCTGATTTTACAGTACTGCTGTCTGCAAAGTAGCTTTACGCATTTGAATCATTCAGTATAAACTCCAAGAAGTGTTTGTCTGACCTTGGCTGTAGAAAAATCTGTGTAGGAGGTCATATTCTGCTTCAAAATCTTGTTTGAAAACCTTTCCAAATTTTGGCTTTATGAGTCAACTTTCTTACATAATCCCCTTGTTTAGGTCAAAACTCTTTTTTTCCTTTTCCTTCCAGTTTCATGTAGGATGTTTACATGCAATCGGAAATCTGTTTGGCCTCATACTGAATGATGTTGAACTTGGTGAAAATCGCACAAAGAAACTTTGTACAGAATTATCAAACACGGCGATTCAGAACCTCTCACTAAGCCATGTGAAGCTTTCGTATGTTGGCAAGTCAACTTTCCAGGGACTGCAAGGAACAAATCTTACAGTTTTAAACCTTTCCCAAAATTCTCTGTCTGTGATAGAAGATGACTCATTTCAGTGGCTTTCAAGTTTACAATACTTAAACCTGAAGCATAATAACTTTCATATATCTTCACGTTTATTTTATGGATTATCCAGCCTCAAACATCTGAATCTGATAAATTCACTTACTGGGAAAATTGAAGATTTTTCCTTTCATTGGTTATACCACCTGGAGTACCTTATAATGGATAATAACAATTTTCCAGGAATTACTGCTAATACGTTCACGGGTCTGAACAACCTGAAATACCTGAGTCTCTGTAACTGCAACATAAACTTACAAAGAATAACTAATAAAACATTTTCATCACTTGGTAATTCCAGTTTGCAAGTTCTCAACCTCACAAAAACAAGGATCTCTACAATAGAAAGTGGGGCATTCTCCTCTTTGGGACATCTGAAAATTCTTGATCTTGGTCTCAATGAAATTAGTCAAGAGCTCACAGGTCATGAGTTTAAAGGTCTCAATAATATACAAGATATTTATCTTTCCTATAACAAAAACTTGGCTTTGCAAAGTGAATCATTCATTTTTGTCCCAAGCCTTAGAAAACTGATGCTGAGGAAGGTAGGTTGCAGTAATCTGGCACTTTCTCCTTCACCTTTTCATCCTCTACAAAATCTGACTGTCCTGGACATCAGCAATAACAACATAGCAAACATAAGAGAAGACTTGTTTGATGGACTTCACAAACTTGACATTCTGGATTTGCAGCACAATAATTTAGCCCGACTCTGGAAACATGCAAATCCAGGTGGCCCTGTTCTTTTTTTAAAAGATCTTCCCAACTTGCGCATTCTTAATTTAAAATCAAATGGGCTTGATGAGATTCCAGTTCAGGTTTTCAAGGGTCTGTTTCAACTAAAAAACTTGGATTTAGGATCAAATAATTTGAATATGCTTCCAGCAACTCTGTTTGATGACCAAACCTCTCTGATTTCATTGAACCTTCAGAAAAATCTCATAACCTCAGTTGAAGAAAAAGTGTTTGGCCCAGCTTTCAAGAGCTTGAGAATACTAGAGATGGATTCCAATCCATTTGATTGCACCTGTGAAAGCATTGCTTGGTTTGCTGATTGGCTTAATGTGACCCAAGCATATATACCTGGATTGCAGTCCCAGTACATTTGCAACACCCCACCTAAATATCATGGTAGTCTGGTGCTGCATTTTGATAGCTCAGCCTGCAAAGACAGTGCTCCATTTAAACTTCTGTTTGTGATCACTACCTCTATTGTGATGCTACTCATTTTTATTGTTCTCAGCATCCATTTTGAAGGGTGGAGAATAGCTTTCTACTGGAATATTTTAGTGAATCGAGTACTCGGTTTTAAAGAACTTGACAGACAACAGGAAGAGTTTGATTATGATGCCTATGTTATTCATGCAAAACAGGACAAGAATTGGGTATCGAAGAATTTCATCTCTCTGGAAGAACATAACCACTTTCAAATTAGGTTTTGTTTAGAAGAACGGGACTTTGAAGCAGGTGTATCTGAATTTGAAGCCACAATTAACAGTATAAAAACGAGCAGGAAGATTATTTTTGTTGTGACTGAACACCTCTTACAGGATCCCTGGTGCAAAAAGTGAGTAGGATATAAAATTTTATATGTAAGGGGAAAAATTTCTTAACAGACTTTTTTAACAAGGTAATATTTTTTGCTGTGTAATTTAATAAAAAATACCACGCCAATTCTACTTTAGTATATTTACTTAATATATCGTAACTTCAGAAGAATTCCTAAATTAATAAAGTTAATTGTTCCACATGTACACTATTAGAAATTTGAATATCTCAGTATTTTTTTTACAAAAAGTCAAGCTGTCACCTGTGCAGATTGCTTTCTGTAAAATTACATGTTTGAAAAAGAGCAATAATGGGTGAGATCACTAGCATCCAAAGATGATTTTTATTGGCCTTTAAACGAGTCTTTTCACCTTTCTTAGGTAGTGAACTTGAAAAGAAAGGAACTATGCTAAACAAGGCTATATCAAGACAGTAGACTTAGGTTATATTTTTAGAGGATGATTTTTTTCATTAGTTATAAGGTAACTAATTTAAGATAGGTAATGACAATTTTATATCATAGAATAGACATTAAGACCCCTGTTTGAGTCCAGTCCTTGAATTTGCTATGTGCTATTACATGAGCTATTAAAAGAATGGTTTGTCATTTTTTCCCTCCATATGAAAGAAAACTCATATTTTTGTCTAATTTTTGCTTCAGTTTTAAGGTGTATCATGCTCTTCAGCAAGCTATTGAACAAAGTCGGGACTCCATCATATTGATCTTTCTTCAGGATATCCAAGATTACAAGTTGTATCATGCACTTCACCTGAGAAGAGGAATGTTCAGATCTTGCTGCATCTTGAACTGGCCAGCCCAGAAAGAACGAGTCAGTGCATTTCATCAGCAATTAGTGATGGCACTTAAATCAAATAGTAAAGTGAACTGAATTTTGAAAGTACAGATTTGAATTATGAAGTCATTTAATTGCATATTTTCTATCATTGGAAAACTAACAAGCCTTCAGGAAGACCTGAAAAAGTGTGTCATGCTGGAAAGATTTGTTAAGAGTCACTGTAATTTAAATTTACTTGTCTATATTCATGTTTTTGCTGAAATTTTAATTCACCAGCACTGAAGTGACATGTTAAAGTCATGATTGACAGTCATTTCAGTCTGTGTATCAAAAATGTGGTAGAAATTCTGAAAAGCACTGGAATGACTGGTGTTCTAGGAAAAATGTCCATCTGATGTAGTGCAGAAAAGACATAGACTCACTACTTTAAAGGGATATGCAAAAGAGAACACAATAAAATAGCAAATTCTGTGTAGAAGATAGAGTGGACACTACTGCTTACTTTCATAACACAAGGGGAGATTCAGTGAAATTAAAATTGCAAAGCTTTCGACGTGTCCTGGTTTTGGCTGGGATAGAGTTAATTTTCTTTCTAGTAGCTGGTACAGTGCTATGTTTTGGGTTCAGTATGAGAAGAATGTTGATAACACACTGATGCCTTCAGTTGTTGTTACACAGTGTTTCGACTAAGTCAGGGATTTTTCAGCTTCTCATGCCCAGCCAGCGAGAAGGCTGGAGGGACACAAGAAGTTGGGAGGGGACAGAGCCAGGACAGCTGACCCAAACTGGCCAACAGGGTATTCCATACCATGGGACGTCATATGTAGTATATAAACTGGGGGGAGTGGGGGCCTGGGGGGCAGATTGCTGCTCGGAAACTAACTGGGGATCAGTCAGCGGGTGGTGAGCGATTGCATTGTGCATCACTTGTTTTATATATTCCAATCCTTTTGTTATTATTATCATTATTATTTTCTTCCTTTCTGTTCTATTAAACTGTTCTTATCTCAACCCATGACTTCTTTTATTTATTTTTTTTCCCCTGATTCCCTCCTCCATCCCACTGGGTGGGGGGGAAGTGAGCGAGCGGCTGCGTGCTACTTAGCTTCTGGCTGGGGTTAAGCCATGACACCACGTGAAGCACAGTAAGTAACATGGAAAATTATTTCTGTAGTTGAAACCAGGAAACGCAGCAGAGTTTCAAAGTAAGTTTTAAAACCTTTTTTTTTTAAGAAAAAGCCACAGAAAGGAACTTGACCCTGTGAGCAGCCTGTTCAGAACATTCAGTGAAGGATTGCTTATGCCTTCTGGGAGGGGCTAGTACTGGTGACTATCAAAAACAGATTTTCAGACTGTAACTCAACTGATTTAATCCATGTGGTATAATTAAAAAGAAAATTTTTACTCTTCCCTCCTCAGATTCAGAGAGCTAACAGAAGGACATTTGTACTGAGAGACATCTCCTTAATTCTTTGAATGCACATACAACTATATGCGGGCCTTTAAATAGAACTTGAAATTAATGTGAAATATGGCCAAGGCACAGCTGGTGCACCTGTATAAAATGAGTAACGGCATAGATATTTCTGTAGCATAACCAGAAGACAGCTTTGTGGGGGAGGTGGTGCTACTGTAATTTCATTACTGAAAACTTTGTTATTGGTGCAACGACAACAAAAAATACCCCCCCCCCCATAAGAAATAGTGTTAAACCGTATAAGAAATACTACTGTGACTACAGTTACAGGTAGAGTGGGAGAAAAACTTCAAAAGTAGATTAATTTCAAATCTTTTGTTTCCTTTTTCTTTATGACTGTATGTAGTTTTGCCTTTGATAGCTCAAAAGGAATTTGTAAAGAAATCGGATAGAATTCTGTAGTTTAATTTCTTATATATTAGTCTAGTTTGTTTTTTCCTTAACATACTTCACAGGAACATGGGCTAGTTGGCAATTGCTAGAGCATTGAGGTTCAAACGTATGGGCTAGTAGCCTGATCTGGAGAGAGCTGAGAACCAGAAAAGCGTGCTCTGAAAGGATGTTCATAATGTTTGAAACTGGTTGCAATTTTATGGAATTTTTTAGCACAATTTATTGTAAATTAGACACTAGACAGTTATTTGTGTGGTTTTGTTAATATTTAATTGCTGCTCCAGGACCTTATAAAACTTTGTCAATTTTTAGTAGGTGTGTGTGATCCTTCAGTAGCTCAGGAGTATTTTTAAATTGCTTTTTACCCCTAGTGTTTCCTTTATCAATTTCAATACCACCAATACTCCAAGAATGCTGTTTTTACTGCTTTAGAAAACTGCTTTCAGATAGTTCAATGCTTAACATTTTAAGCAGCTTTTCTCATTATTTGTTATATGCATAGATGAAAAACGTTGGTTTTTAATAGGTTTGTATGTCCCATGATGATAACAAATGTAAATGAGAAAAATAATTAATGAAATAGATTTTGCGTGCACTGGAAGAGTGAGGGGGGTGTAGACTGTCTTCACTTGCTCAGGAAGTCCTGAATGAAAACAAAAAAGTCTTTGTTTACAGTTGAAGGGATAGATGATGATTCCCTAATTACAGTAATAGGATTATCCCCATTGTGATGCTTTCATCTCATCTTTCCAACCTTTTCAGGTGAAGTGACAAATTCTTTCTTCATGCTTAGGCCATGAAAGTTGAGGAGGCAAGTCGGTAAGGATGGGGTGCCAGGTATGCACCATGTCAGTTGCTCTTTCTCTTATTTAAAGACTAACATGTGAAAGGGTTCCCATGTTTCCTAAATCTGTAATGACACAGAGTAGCAGAATGTCTCATTCCACATCAATATAAATTGTTTAGAAAATGTTAGCAGTTCACATGGATATTAAAAAGGACATAGAGGTGCATAGAATGCATGGAGAAATGCTGAGGTCAAATGTGATACAAGAGATCAGACTAAATGATCAAATGGGTCTTTTCTGGCCCTTAAACCCCGACAAATGACAGCATGTCTAAATTCTATACAGATTTTTCTTGTTACGACAAATGCCCCCAAAGTCAGTCTCAGAACAGTGAAAAAATGCGTTATGGATGCTTAGTTTTGTAATATAGCTAAGAATACAAACTAAAAGTACTTGCACTTGAGTGAAAATAATTTTAAATGATAAAAAATATGATGATGCATTCTAACCAGTTATTTTAGTACCTACATTCAGTTTAAAATAACTTACAACAGAAAAAGACATTATAAAGGCTCACGATGAGAATTAGACTGTTATTAAAAAAAAACCCACAAAAGCAATAAGCACAGGGCCAATGGTAATCATCAATTAATTATACTTGACATAAAATTTTCATATAAATTTTCTATTTGTCTGGAAGTTACCCACTTCTGCTCTGCTCCTGTGCATTTGTTTGACAATATTATCTGAGAGTAAGTAAATGAGTTTACTGGGGTGCAGAGTTGTAAGTGCTTTCGGGATTAACAGTCTGTATCTGAGCTGGGTAGTTTCTTTGCAGGGGGCAGCATCAGACTAAATTATGCTGATTTACTGAGGAGGTGGATACCAAATAAATGAAAAACAGTTCCAAAGTGGTAGCGTCAAAGATACTACCTAGGATTAAAGAGGAATCATCTGTATTGAAAGCAGAGTATCTAAAGGACTTGAGCAAGGCAGAATGCTCAAGTCTGTAGATTTGGGGTGGAACCTGACTGTTTCTGTGGTTCTCGAATGACGGGGAGTAATGAACAAGTTACAGGCTGTGATGTTCATAATAGTTTCTATTCCAGGTCTTCATGCAGGGTTGCTTCGGGGCTGCAGCTGCGATAAATATACTACACACCAATGTGCTCAATTATGCTACTCTGACTGTGGCTCAGCCAAGGCTTTTTGGCATGGTGAGGAATAAATGCAGACTGTGCCGCTGTTAGGTTTATGTGGACCTATTCCATAAGGGTTGGTCAGAACATATTTATTTCAGTTCATAAGAAAAAAGGCCAAGAATATCCCAGTTTCAAATCTCAGCCCTCTACTTGGTGTCGTGCGTGCTCTGCTCTGCCAGCTCATTGCCCTCCTTGATGTGCTAGGAAGACCAGGCAGGGATAACAACCCCCACGTTGTACGCTTGGCTGTAGTCTACCGGCAGCTGCCAGCTGTAAGTTGCTAGTGCAGCTAGTTGCTTGATGTATGATCCTGGGCTCGTACGTATAAAGCCGCTGTGCTATCCCTTCACCCTGTGCTGTTCTTTTGGACGCTGCCAAGGCCCACGCTACCTGCCGTGTTCTGAGCTGACACACCGTTTGTCCCGTCTATAACACCGGCCGTCACAGTGTGCCCAAACTGCTGCTGGCATGAACTCGCTTCTCTCCATCCATCCATCCATCCATCCCCGTGTTGCAAGGCTAGGGCGGTCTCTGCCCCAGCCCCTCCTCATCTGCCTCCAGCTGCCTGGCCTGTGCCGCTGCTGCCGCAATTTGTAGCGGAAGAGCGCCCGGTCTTCGGTGCCGACACCCTCGGCGGCTCTCCGAGCTGCCTGGGATTGCCGGCGGCTCCCTTCTGCGGTTGCCCGACCTGGTGTGAAGAGGGGTACTGGCTCGGGCCCGTCTCGCTCCCCGGTTCCCTAAGACCCTTTCTGCGCACAAAGGAGGGGGGCGAGGCGGGGCCCCGCGGCCCCGGCAGGCGGCGTCGCCTTCCGCCCCTCGACGTGAGGTGGGATTTCGGCTACAAGGCGCGACGCCGCGCTGCGTTTCCCCTCGCCCGCAGCCCGCGGCCGGTCACCGCCCCGTGCCTCTCCCTCCGCACGACAGCCGGCTGCGCAGGCGGAGGGCGGCTCGCAGGCTTTCTGCCGGCGCCGGGCACCCCGCGCCGCCCTCGGCGGGGTTTGTTTCGCCTAGCAACGCCCGCCGGGAAGGGCCTCCGGCCGCGCCC